TCTTTATTTAACAAGCTCATCTATTCAGGGAAGCAATTGGGAAAATCCTAGCACGAGGTCATAGCCGTGTTCCTGTTTATTCTGAACATCCAAAGAATATTATCGGACTTCTACTGGTTTGTGGGAAATTTGATCTCAAAATATTTCATTGTGTATGTTTCCCTTGGTGATTTAATGAAGCATCAGCTTCCCTGTTGCTTCTATATGGGACAGGTAAAGAGTCTTCTTACAGTACGAGCAGAAACAGAGACCCCCGTTAGTGCTGTTTCCATCAGGAGAATGCCTAGGTACGTTATGTGTTAATTTTTGACGTAGACTACACTGAGAATATAATTTCTCATACATAGTGTTTCAGGGTACCAGAGGATATGCCTTTGTATGATATTCTCAATGAATTTCAAAAGGGAAGCAGTCACATGGCAGCTGTAGAGAAAGTAAGCAAGAAAGACTGCAACCTTGTTTCTGATCGAGCTGGTGTCAAAGGTGGAGAAAACAAATTTTGTAATGGGGACTCACAGTTAACTACACCATTCCTGTGCAAGAATTATGAAAAATCAAACACTCTTACTATAAATATCGATAAGGTCTCGTTGCAGAATCAAGAAATTAAATTCCCATCGTTGCATCAAAATGGTGTTACGACAAATAACTCAACATATTTAGCAGAAGATATTGAAGAGGGGGAAGTCATTGGCATCATTACTCTGGAAGATGTTTTTGAGGAACTCCTGCAGGTAATCTGTTTCTTCACTGTCTTTCCCAATGTGTTACCTTATGTATCAGTTCGTATGGGTTTTATCTTAGTGCTTGCAACTCATTGCAAGTTTCCAAGTGGGGATTTTGAACATCCTGTTGGCTAACTTCCAAAATTAATTCAAATTCATTATCCAATTAGACTTATATCTTCCTTTTACTGAATGCCTTTTGCTTCAGCTTTTATCATTTTCAATAACTGAAACCACATTCTACTCATGACTGGATTCATCATGGATGCAGGAGGAAATTGTGGACGAGACTGACGTATATGTAGATGTTCATAAAAGGTCTAAAGAATCGACTTGACTTCTAAATTGTCTGTTTTTTGTTGATAATCATGGCTCGCTATTATAATTATTCCTAGTGACATTGTTGTAAGATTCTAAGTTGTTGACTTTCATCCTGGTACAATCTGTACTTCAGAATATGTGTAGCTGCTGCTTCATCAGTTGCTCGGGCACCTTCTGCTAGGAAATTGACAGGTCAAAAGGCTTCAGTGAGTCTCAAACAATTTCTTCTGATATTTCCTATGTAGAAATGAAGTGCTTTTGCATGTTGAAATCTCTATCATACTCGTGCTTGTGTTGTGTGGTTTTATTAGCAAGGTCTAAGATAATACTATACTGCTGTGATGTCGTAAGTCTTATTCTTAGTGTTTCATAATTTGATATTAAAACAGGAATTTTTAAATTAGAAGTGTATTTATTTCTGTTTCCTCAGACTAAGCTGGTTGTTGCTGCATAATATTCATGCTTTTGTAAATTATGATGGGGTGAAACAAATTTTGTCACCCAATCATCCTGGTAGCTTAGGTGCCAATTTGCTTGGTACATGAGTGTCTTTCTTTCACTATTTGAGGCCTACAAACTTTTTCTGGATCTTTGACCATTGAGTCAATTATGACTCTATTTTGCTAACATCAAGTAGTGCATAGGTGACTTCATGCTATTGCATGTGCACAGTGTAACTGTCACAAATCTTTGTTCCGTTCTTTCTTTGAAGGGCAATTTCTTATCCACACATCATTTAAGAGGTATTTTGTTCGTCATTTTCATTTGTGCTTGAGCATAATGAATATCAAATATACTGTTTTGCCTTTTATGTCTAAATTGATTGTCATTCTGTATGTTAATAGAAGCTGATAGAGACAGGGTATTTTGTCAGATAGTGTAATTTTAAGGATGTTAGGCTATAAGATTTCGATGTTAACCCAGTGAAAAGGGAAATATTTCTGATTCAGCACATTCTTTGAATTACATGTCTTCAGGATATGTTGCTTTGTTTTATACAAGAAATCCAATGACAAAAATAGGAATAGGTAGTAGACGTGACATAGATCATTGTATTAGTGATATAGGCTTTCAAATAGTGTAACCAGATGCTGGTTGGGTGCCATATTGGGAAGGGTGATGCAATTTTGGATTCTTCTTGAATGGAAGTGCATAACTTAGAAAATCTTTGACAACAGAGGAGGAATTACATGGTCTGGAAGGGGTTCAAATTGAATCACCTTTGTTGGAAAATTATACTGTGGAAATAGGGCAAAACAATGAGTACTATATTTGTATACAAATTGTTTAATTTCCTTGACATAAGGGAAGATTCTAGTTTAGTAGCAAAGGTGGATAAATAGTTGTTTTAAGTTGCAGGTTTATTTGAATCTCCTTGTTAGAATACCCGGCTTCATCGCAGTTCAGCAAAAATGGTCCGTTGTGTCTGATTATTTGCTGGAGCTAACATCATAAAATTTATCCAACTTGTCATGTAGGGCAAGGGAAGCAAGGATGGACTCAAAAGAAGTCAGTTGAGCAATGATTGCAGTAGATAATGTGGAGATTGACCTTTCTTTGGCACCAATGTGCGGCTTATTAAGAGTAAATGGACCATTCAGGTTCAGTCTGTATAAAATTTTTGTAATCGTTTTCAATCAACCAGGCAATGTAAATTTTTGCAGTTTCGATTGTAATATGCAACTCTTGGTATCACTTGTATCAAGCTCGAGTATAGTGACTTAGACTGTAATAACAGCATCATTCTATTTTCCCCCTAGAGATAACTTCCCCCCTACACTTCTCTTTGTGCCCAGTTTGTGTAAAATGACATCTTCAATACAGAAAGAATGCAGCTGAGTAAAAGGTTGTTGCAACATACTAAGACATTTCATTTCCTGATTGAGTTCTTTTCTGCAAAAAGTAGTTCTTATCAATAGCTGGTGAAATTCCTCTGAAGGAGAATCTTAGTAGCTTAGTTGGTTGGCTACCTGAATTTTCACTTTGTTGATGAACATGGGCGGAGCTACCCTAGGGCAAGGGGTGTCAAGTGATACCCGTTCGTCGGAAAATTACATTGTATATATAGGTCAAAATTTGATTTAATGAATATATATACAAGTGTTGACACATCTTGATATGAGTTGAATGTTGAAGATTTAGTGTAGTGGTTAAGGAGTTGCAAAAGTTGTTTGAGGTTGTGTGTTCGATTCTTGATAGTTGTATTAACCTTTTTACTTTATATTTTGACACCCCCAATAAAAGTTTTGGTTTCGCCACTGTTGCTGAGGGTTTGATTTCCCACCTCGTAACCCCATTCCCATTTTCTATTTCCCCAACCCCCAATATTTTTAAAAAAGAAGGTGAAATTTCCAGTAGTGATTCATCATTTCGTGCAACTTGCATGACTTAGCTGTTACACTTGACTTAACATGGTATTCTTGCAAAATAGTTTTCATCCTTAATCTTAACTTGAGCCTATCTTGAATGAAGTCTGGGAGCAATGGTAAATTTATCTCCATGTGATTTATAGATTATGAGTTCGAGTTGTGAAATCAACCTTTGGTGTTTATGTCGGAGTACACTACTTACATTATACTCCATCGAGGTGTGGTTTTTTCTTGAACTTTGCTTGTGTCCTTAACTTGAGCCTACGTGTGTGCACGTTTTATTACTCTTCACATTAATTTGATCAAATTTTGATAATATGATCTTTAACTATTTTTAATTTTTGGTAGAAATTTCATGTCAAATTTAAACTTTTTTCCTAAATAAAATATATGTTCAGACATAGTTTAAAGTTTCATAAAGTAAAATTCAAAGTTTATAATGCCTGAAGAATCATTACCACAATGCATAAAGAGGAGGTCATTAGCATTTATACCGTAAAATTGACTGATTTTAAGTTTCAATTTTAAAATTTATGACCGAGCAGAAGTCAAATATAAGAAAAAAGACAAAAAGGAAAACAAAAGATTTGACTAGTAGCTATTAGCTAACGTTACATTTTTGGGATAGCAACATTAGTGTACTAAAGAGAAAAAAACAGCCGTGATCATTGAGTGGCTGGTTTCTTGGTAGTTTCCTCCCTATTTTAGGAAGAAAATAATCAAAATAGTCCTTGAAGTATAAAGATTGAATTATTTTGATCCTTGGTATGTCTCTCTTAACTGAAATAGTCCATCATATATATTTAAATAAATAATTAAAATTCACTCTGAGAAAATGATAGTCAAATCTAAATTATTTAGCAAAGTTTGGAGTGAATCTAGACTCTAGGACCGTTTTGATAGTTTAAAGACGAATTTAACTATTTAACCTTGTAAAATAGATTCATATATTATAAAATTTATGCGTTAATCAATAAGGACAAATCTAATTCATTTTTTGTAATGGAAAGAAAAACATATAACCACATCAACTATCAACAAAAAAAGTAGATGAGCATCATTTTGAAAAAGTTTGGAGGCAAACATTTTTATGGTTGCCTGTTCCAATTTAATAGGAAGATATCTTTATCTTGAAAGACGAAAATATCAACTTCACTCTCAGAAATATTTAAATAAATTAATAGAAATATATGATTCTTTTGATTGATCCATTTATAAATTTTAATTCTATGTTTTCCCAAGTCACATGAGTTGTACATACATTAAAAATGTTTATTAAAATCAATATGGAACACTTTTATATGTATATGAGGAACTATTTATGTCAAAAGGTATAAATTGAAGATCAAAATAGATCAACTTCTATACCTTATGGACTAGTTTGATTATTTTTTCAACTTTTAGGAGCCCGCATTGACGGATAAGTGGGGCCCAAACATGCATTAGAATGAGTCCTTTATCAACCCGCCATATTAAATACCCGAAAGTCTAGAGTCGCACATGTAAATTTACAAAATTATCCTCACATCAATTTCTAATTGACATTATCATCCTTTTTGTGGTTCCTTAGCGGCGTAGGTCTCCTCCTTGTATTACGACTACAAATACGACTCGCTGTTTCACCTTCTCTCCACTCTCCGCTGCGTTCCATAACACATAATTTTGCTTGCCGCCGGTTACCTACTCACCGCCGCGCCGCTCCTCCTTCTCCACCGTGCATTCCAAAACATAAGGTAAGAGATTGAATTCTCCCGTTTCAAAATTCTGATGAATTTGATGATTTGTTAGGGTTTTACCTTTTTATTGTACGTGTAATATGGAATCTGAGATTGTGACCTTCTGATTGATTTACTTTTCTCGCTTCTGAATTAGAAAGCAGCTGGAATTGTTAAGTCGGTGTTTTTGTCAATTCCGTCCTCTGACTCTGTTTTGGATACGAAATTCTCGACGTTTGATATCTCTAATTTCGTTTTTGATGATTTAATGGAGTGTTAGGGTTTTCTTCGCTTATATAAATTTGGATTTTATAATATTAGAATGAAAAGAGCTTGATTATATAGAATCCAATTAGTTTAGTTTGTGATTGAGGTGTAGTTAATTGATTTGATCTCTGCGTTTTATTATAACTTCAGTTATTTGTGTTATTACATTTTGTTGTCAATCTGAGTTTTTGTGATTTCGTTTAGTAGCACTGATGCTTACGTTTCCTTATCTTTCTGAGCAGAATTGCATTCATAGCTGTCGGAGATGGGATTCAAGAAAGTTTATAAGGCATTGCAGGAGATTTTTCCTGAGGTATGATGATATTTTATATCAGTTTAAGATCCTGTAATATGCTTAAGTTTTCTTTTGAGCTTACGGTGAAGTGGCATAATTTTAGCATCTGTGAAGCATATATCTTTAAAGCAATGTAGAACATCAATTCACATTCGAGGGCATCGAATGAACTCTGTTATTAATTTGGTGAAAGTCACAACTTGTTACAAATGTAGGTTCCCCTATGAAATTATGTTTACATAATCATGCAATTCTAACAATATTACTCCCTTTGTCCTCTTTTAGCTCCAATTTATATGATAATCATCTGATAGTATTCTACTAATAATATTATTCTATACAACTTTCACAAGTTTCTAGAATTTAAATTTGTTGAACCAATAATTCTCTATATGATGTTTCTCCTACGTATGAAGTTTTCAATTATTATTGTTTATATTTTCTTCTACCTCTACTTATATAATCCAAAAATAAAACTAGTATCTTCTACTTTATCCCAATTGGTTAGTTAAAAATGTGTTAGAGTGCATATTTGATGTTTTTACTCCTTGGGATGTTTGAAGTCTTTTGTCTTCGAGTGTTTTTGAATCGATTTTGATGTGATAGTAAATAAAAATGATTTTCCATCATTATCCTCTGAAAGTGTCTTTCTGAATTATCCATATGAAGTTATTTTGAGATTTGCTGCAACACATGTACCAAGAAAAGATAAAGTTTGAGCGCTCTGTTTTCTTAATTGGTCAGGTTGATTCTCGAATTCTTAGAGCTGTTGCTATTGAGCATTGCAAGGATGCTGACACGGCTGTCGAGGTGGTCCTTAATGAAGTTATCCCCTGCTTGACTAAGCTTCCCTCAACTTCTTCGGAGCATAGTGGGGTTACCGTCATATCATCTGAAGGTAAGGCCTAATTTTGGTGAAACTGCCATCTTTTCTCTGGTTAAATCTGAACATTTACCTGAGTTCTTGAATTTGGAAACTCTCCATATTCTTTACTGGATTTATCAAACTGAAGTATTTTTTTCCCCATATGCTGCCTGCCTCAGCTGCAGTAGATGCTAATGGGGCTCCACAGCCTGATGCTTTTCTTCTTCACAATACAAAAGACTCAGATGAAATGCAAAATGCCTCATCATTCTATGATGCTGGTTGTGGACATCATCAAACAATTGAAGATACTGATGGTGAATCCCTTCAGAATTATCATGATGCTGTTGGTGGAGATCATGTACCGCTTGAAGTCGATGGAGGTAGGACACCGGTCTCCATGGAGAAGTGTGATAAAAGTAAAGATGAAGTTACTGCCTACGAACCCTGCCAAGTCATGCATGTCATGTCAAATGCTGAAGGTGAGGATATTGATGATGCACACTTGCTAATTGAAAATGACAAATGTGGACTCTCAGCAAGTCCTGAAGCAACTTCTTTCACAGCAAACAAAAACAATGGAGCTGAAGTTGCTGACAATCAGCTTTGTCTTCCTACGGAATGTGTTGTTCTGCATAATACCCTTGAAGGAACTGAGAACTCATCTTCTGATGATTCTACTGCACTTATGCACAAAAGGATATATGAAGAAGTTTCTTCAGTGGACAATCAGGACATGAAAGATCCTGAGAGTCAGGTTGCGCCCTTGAGTGTTCAAACTTTATGTGGTTCTGAAGATAGTATAGAGTTTGTGGTTGCACCAGATGTGCATAACTTTGAGCTAGAAAAAACAGAACTCAGTCTTCATCAAAAAGAAAAAACAGAACTCAGTGATTCAATCGATGCTACATCTAGTGAAGATTTGGCGGGTGTAATTCTTGTAACTAAAGAAGAGTCTATGCCAAATTCAGTGGTCACTGCATCAGGTCAAATTTGTAGTATTGACCTTCTTGAGGATATGATGACAGAAGCCAAAAATAACAAGGTACACTTTATATAATTTTTCCAAACTAAGTATTCCACGGAATGTGAACGACTAACAGAAACTGTGCTAAATATGTTAGTATCCCTCTAGATTACCTAGCCAGTGTAGTTGTGCAAAGTTGGGAGTATTAGCTGCTTTCAAGTGGAAGTCAACAGGCGCTCTTAGGCATAGTTTGGTTGCACATGTAGGATTTGCTTTTAGTGGTATCTGTTATGGTTTATATATATTATTTGGGCTTCAATTGCATTGAGAAGTTCCATTGTTGCTTATCTATGCCAAATTTTCATCAATTAGGTTTTACTACGGTATATATATTTTCTCCTCTCTCTGTTACCGTAAACTGTTGTCAGCTACCAATTCACTGGAATTAGGGATGGCAATGGGGTGGTGCGGGGCAAAGCCTTAATTTTTAAAAATTATGCGGGTAGGTCTCCTCCTTTCTTGTGTTCTAATTCTAAACTCTTATCATAAACTTAATTTTATACACCATCTTAGAAGAATTGTTTTTATGTAAAGTTTAACAGGTAGATCCCTCTTATTTATACATTTCACAGTGGTGTTTAATATACAGATTTTTCTTTTCTCGAATTGTAATTCCAATTTCTTTTTATTTTCCCAATATGCTCCCACTAGGCCACTAGTAAGACAGCTTCAGGTAAGAATTCTAGGTAAAAAATTGGTTGCAGTTATGAACTTTGACAATTTGCAATTCTTTGATTTAAGTTTATTCTTCTTGCATATCTTTGATTTTAGTTTATTCTTCTTGCATATCTTTGATATTAGTTTATTTTTCTTTCTAATTTTAAGTAGAAAATTGGGGATTAATCCACTGCAAACAATAAGTTAGTCCTGGAACTAAGGACGCACATGTGGCAGTAATAACTTCAAGTGGGGTAGGGGGGGTTTCGTGCGGGTTTATGCGGGGCGGGGTGGAGCGGGTTAAAAATAAAAAGAATGTTATGCGGGGTGGGGCAGGGCGGGTTGAGAATTTTGTGGGTTTGACTACACCCGTCCTGCCCTAGTGCTATCCCTAACTGGAATAGGTAGCATTGGCTTGTTGTCCATAATAGATGCTTGATCAATTGCTTAGTTATCTCTGATATTATAATCTCTTTGTGATGCAAATAGTCTGTACAAGCACATCCACTACCCTTTATCATTTGTTTATCAGTTGTGACTCTTCTTTAGCTTTTAATACTTTGGTGTATGCATCAGCTTGGACTTCTATATTTCTGCAAGGGATAGGTCAGGGTTGCATATATGTTCTCCATATTTAGAGTCTTCCCCGTATTTACTTTATTCTGGCCCTAACACATGCCAAACTTATCTTTAATTCATTTAAGATGGGTACTGAGAATAGGGAAGGGCCTATTTTCTGAATTATCAGTTGATGTCGAACAAGGGAGGTTAGCAATTTTCTTCGTGAATTCGTGGAACTCTAATTAAATCTTGGTGCAGAAAACACTGTTTTTGGCTGTGGAATCTATTATCTGCTTGATGAGAGAAGTTGAACTCCAAGAGGAAGCTGCAGAGCAGGCAAAGCTTGAAGCTGCTAAGGGGGGACTGGATATGCTTAAGAGGGTAGAGGATCTGAAAGAAATGTTACGACATGCTAAGGAAGCAAATGATATGGTTGCCTTTCTCTTCAACTGTGTGTTTCCCTTTGCCACTGTAATTTTATTATTTCATCACTTGTGACCTAACAACTATGCTACACAACCATTTGCAGCATGCTGGTGAAGTCTATGGTGAGAAGTCCATCTTAGCTACTGAAGTTAAAGAGCTTCAATCTCGCCTGCTCGGCTTGGCAGATGAAAGGGACAAATCTCTCGCAGTTCTTGATGAGGTGAGGGGATGTTGTAATCTTTGTTTGTAAAAGTGGGGAGCGGTATAAGAGACTCTGTAAGGAGAGTATCTTATACAGTCTTCTGTATCTTCTCCACACCTTGAGTGTGAGACAGAAATTGCTGTATGCGAGTTTTTTTGACCTGTGACATCTTTTTTTCAATTTACTAATGTGTGTGCGTGTGTGTGTTTCAGAGTTTCATATTCTTTCTGTTTATTTTCTATTCCTAACACAATTTTGTTCCATTATTTTCATTAATACCTGGAATTGTCAAAGAGCTAATGAGCATGACTTGTGTCATGCAAATATTGCATGTAAATAAACTGTCACATTGTCTGCCTTTCATTAACTGTTTCTTTCCCTCGATATGACGGCGTACTAGAAGTCTTGGACATGCTGAATTATTCTCAAACATGTACGACACTAGGACTGCAGACTGGCTCAAAAAGATTACCTATTAGATTGTTTGTGAGAAGGTGAGAGGACACAAGTTGAATATTGGAAAAAATTTAAGAAAGAAAAGCTTAACTAATGTGAACATTTGTGTTGTACCTCTAAGAGGAATAATAAAGGAAAATCTTCATGGTCAAACAAGTGCATTCAACATGATATGGCACCTTTGAAAGGGTATTTTGCCTTCATTAGTGAGGTGGGAAGAGTTCCTTTATTCTTTATTCTTGAATTTTTTTTTTCTTCGTATTGCGGGTTTAGTGAGGTGGGCAGTATTCTAGCTGCTAAATCACAGATGCTTTGCTTGTACTTATGGTTTAGAAGAAAAGGGTGGATGTAAATAGTAGTATGATATTCTTCTTTTACCTGATCATCTAAAGTACCCTTTGTGTAGATGCGTCAGACACTTGAGGTGCGAATGGCTGCTGCTGCGAAAGAAATGAAAGCTGCTGAGCAAGAAAGAATAGGCAAGAAAGAGGTTGCACGTAAAGCGCTTGCTGATCAGGAAATCATTATGGCAAAAGTTGTGCAAGAGGCAAATGTTCTGAAGCAAGAAGCAGAAGAAAATGCTAAGGTAATAGCCCTCGCTATTTAAATGGATTATATATGCATAGTAAAATGTAATTGTAGTCTTATGATTTTATCTTCTTGTTCTTCTGTTGCACAGTTGAGGGATTTCCTGGTGGATCGGGGACGTGTTGTTGATACGTTGCAGTAAGTATAACTTATTAGGTCTCTTTAAAAATTTGATAATTGTGCTCTCCGAATGTGGGTTATTTGCTTGGAAAAAGGGAACTTTGCTTGGTTGGGATGCCAAGGTAAAATCAGCATTCTGATTCAAGCTTGTGTTTGCTTAAATTTAATAAATGCAACTGCAAATTGTAGTTACATAGTATCCGGGGTGGGGGTGGGGGAGCTCCTTATTCAGTGTGTTCTTGTGTTATGATCTGTTTTCGCAGGTTTACCCTGTCCATCATACAATATCCTCATATTTTTCTTTCTTTGGTTTAAAATTCCTTTGAGCAAAGCCATTGTATTTTACTACTATTAATCAGAGGTGGAGGTAGAATCGCAATTTTTATTTTTTTGACTCTCAGATACTTCTGTGCCGAAGATAGGGAGGGGGGAGGTCTCTCTACATCCTACCCTCCAGACACCACTTGTGGGACTACACTGGGTATGTTGTTGTAGATGCTTCTGTGCCATGGCTGTTGCATCTGTCCTTTCCCTGCATATTCCTTGTTTCTCCCTCAACTGTTATTTAAGACCAGAGAGGCCCATGTAGTTGATGTCTGTCGTCTCTTTTGAGAGCTTCTTTTTGCCCCTCATTAAGTCACTTTTTTTCACATTATTTCTCCTGTAGTTTTAGTAAATCTTGACAACTTTGAAGGCTCTTGCTTCCAATCCCCTCTTACCATAGCATATTAGTTCTTACCATATGTTGTGTCAAGTTTCTATCCTACATGCTGCTCTCCATATTCTCTCTCCCTTTTTTTTTCAGACCATGATACTTTTCCTTCTCTGTTGAGCTCATGTGTGCTTATAAAAAGCCTTAATAATTTTGAGGCTTATTTTTAAGATCTTTCTACTTTAATGATGCCTTGTAAAACTAATGGATTTATTTGACCAAAATAACTTAATGGATATTGAAAATTTGAAGTTATTGAGAATTTTCTTGGGTTGATTAGTTTATCATTGAGGAGGAAAACATGAACCTTTGCTAATAGAGGTGAAAAGAGATATACTTCCTTGAAATCTTGAATGAGTTTAGATAACTATAAAGTGACTTCAGTGCATGCCCTATTTTCATTTTTTTTTTCCTTTTAGAATTTTCATCAAATATTATTTTTCTTGTGAAAGATGTTAGTACAATGGTTTTTGGTATACATTAACCTCTATCTAGAGTGATCATATGTTTCATTGAGGAGGAAAACATGAACCTTTGCTAATAGAGGTGAAAAGAGATATACTTCCTTGAAATCTTGAATGAGTTTAGATGATAACTATAAAGTGACTTCAGTGCATGTCCTATTTTCATTTTTTTTTTCCTTTTAGAATTTTCATCAAATGTTATTTTTCTTGTGAAAGATGTTAGTACAATGGTTTTTGGTATACATTAACCTAGAGTGATCATATGTTTCAAGAATATTAATGTATTAGCATATTTTGGGAAAAAGAAGAAAAAATAGCATTTAGGTATATCTATGAAGAATCAACGAATTTAGTGGTTCCTTGAATTTCGGATGAACTAAGCTTATATTCACCAAATTCGACTAGCATAAAGCCATAAACTGTTTTCATATGAAAGTATGAGTAGGGTCATAGCCAATTTGAAATTATATTTCATACTTCAATATCTCTGTAGTTTTTAGAACATCGTGTCATTGTGTCCCTTTGAAATCTGAATATTCTTATTCTCTGTCAGATTTGCTACATTAAAATTATTTTTTCTAAAAAATATACAATAAACTTTATTAATGACAAAGGCTTATTTAATGATATACTGTTAACATGCCATCATTTTATTCAAGCAGTGTTTAAATAGAACATGACATTTGATCAAAGTTATTACTTTTTAATCTTGAGAGCACGGGCTTTCCGCAATTTGTATTGTCAGACAAGACTAAGTTATAGAACACAAATTGGAAAGGTCTTGCATTACTTTTCTAATCATGCTGGCAGTTGTTTTCAGTTTTTCCCCTCCTCCCAGATCCTTGTGCCACTATTTTGCTCTACTTGTTAGTCATTTAAAATACTCAAATAGATTGTTGCACCCTTTTGCAGAGGTGAAATCTCTGTCATATGCCAAGATGTGAGGTTGTTGAAAGAGAAATTTGATGATCGTGTTCCTCTTTGCAAATCTTTATGTTCCGAGCAGACCAGCTGTATCTTAGCGTCATCAAGTTCATCTTCGAAGAGTATGATATCAGATGAGGCTGCAGATTTGTTGCATGCTCCAGAAAAGATGGATAGAGTGTCTTGTCATGAGGAGGAGCACAAGGCATCTGAAGATGTTAAGTCAGTGATCCATAACACGGATCTTGTGGATGATGGATGGGAAATCTTTGACAACCGCGAGCTATACATGTGAATCAAGTGGGTGTAGAGAAAAATCATTGACTGGTTGCTTTAGTTCGAAGATATGTCTCATCTTTTAAATAAGTTTCTTGGTAGAAACAAACATGTTTAGAATTCCAGTTTGTTATGCTCATTTTGCAATGTTAATTGAGAGCTATTTCAAAGTAGTAGTATCCTATCCTGGTATAGAAGTATTTGTACAGAACAAGTATATAAATAGCAGCTTATCATCTATAGTATAGAGAAGTGCAATCATGTACTGGTCCTAAATTATACTTATAACCCCCCTCCCCTGACCCCTTTCCCCACCACTACTGAACTTAATTTCTTTCATTGCATTACTATTTACGTGATAAAGGAAATATCAAGTATATGCAAACACATGATAACCTAAAAAAGGGATTTTAATATCTTTTTCATTTGATTCTCTCGAACACAAATAATTACCCTCATCTGCTCTCAAATCCTTCGTTCTCCTTCTTTCATTGTTAGGGTCTCCATTTCTATTATACTTTTCTAAGTCAGTCACTTGATCAAATGGTCGCTCTTCATATCCCTTTTGTGTTCTCTAGATTTGTTCTTTATTTGCTATTCTAATTTGGTCTAAACAGAGAAAGAAGGAAGATGAGTAGGGATGGCAATAGGCCGCGTGGTTGCAGGGCAAACCCGTTGTGATTTCAACCACACCACCCCATATCATGATTTGTTGTTTTCAACCCAATCTGCTCCGCCCACATAATTTGTAAAAGAAAATTTCAAATAATAGGTGCATAAGTTTTTAATTAATTTTCTTTTAGTGTAACTGTTAACTACTAAATTAACATATTAGCCTATCATTTAAATGCAATTTTATAATACTCTTCTTTTACGCACGTCAATAACATTATTTTTGATAGCTTTGAATTAGTTACATTTCATATAAAAAAAATTTAAAAAAATCAAAATTCAAATAGTGACATAATTTTTTCTTCTTTCTAGTTTTTTTGGCGATTCAATTTTTTTTTTCATAAATCAGTTTTAATTTTACTTGAAACTCATCATATGACTAGTGAGTGGTACCCAAACATGTACAAAACTGATACAGAATTTGTGTGAACAGCGAATTAAAAGATTCTTTATCCCTAATCCGCAACCAACCCCAGTAAATTTTGAAAAAAAAAATATTTAAACCTGCCCCGCTCTGCACCAGCAAAAGCTCACCCTACATAGACTGTAAACCACCCCACCCCATGCCATCCCATATTCATTTTCTTAAATGAAATTGCAAAAAGAAGAATAATGGTCCATAATTATGGTCTGTATCCACATAAAAGAAAACATAAAACACCTTGTCAATTAGTAATAAGAAAAGTGTCCTTGAGTATTATTCACTCATAAACTCTTTGTATACATTGTACATGTAATTTAACTCTACTCCTACACAAAAGTTAAGGCTATAATCACAACCCTTAAAAAAAACAAAACCTATACAATCGATCCATCGTTCATCACAAAACTTAACTAGAAATTAAGCCTATGACAACGATTATTATAATTAATCGTGCCAACATAGAAGCAAGACTGTACATCTCCAAATAATGTAAAGTCTCGCCCTTTGTTGTCTAACTTGCTTCGAACATCCTTGCCATTTCCTCATTTTCGAACTCCTTAACGATGACATTGAACTTGCAAGAGTAGCCATGTATAGAAAACTCAAAATATTTTGAAGAAATTATAGTGTTTGATTTTGATGAGTAATGTTTAAAAGACTTGGAACATATATATAAAGAGTATAAGATATGTGAAAGGAAAATATGTGGTGAATAAAGGTTTTAAGAGGGTACATAAAAGGGACATGTTATGAAAATTGTGTCAATAGATAAATTGGAATAAGTTGGGGGCCATTTATGTCTTGTCTTTGTATTGTATGGGTACCCTACATTAACATATCTATCATACAGGTTTGCTGTATCACTAAATTATATAAATGTGAAATCATTTTCTTGTAGCACCATCATCTATTGTTCATGGTGTTACAAAATAAATAGTGTACTTGTACAAGTGTATTTAATGTGAAAATGGACAGAGCAATAAGAAACCAAAGGACAAAATTAATGACAACATTGCATGGCTTCAAAAAAATTTCAGAAGATACCAATAGTTTTGGAGATTTATATGTGGTGGTAAAACTTAGCATGACTTAGTCAACATGTGCTAATTAAGCAACGAAAAAAGGTAAAAAAAAAAGTGCTCTTAACGTATTATAAATGGTTTTAAGATGCTCTCCTTTCACCTATTAGATTAAAAATGTCTTCAACGTTTTTTTTAGGTCTAATAAGATGTAATTTGAGACTAATAAGATGAAATCACTTTTTTCATTAAATGATTCATTTGTTGTCATGTCATTGTGATGTTAAAAAACGACATTATTAGACCTATAAAAACATTGAAAGCATTTTTAATCTAATAGGTAGAAAGAGAATATATATTATATTTTTAAATTATTTATAATACGTTTTGAGCATTGTTAACCCTTTTCGATTAAACGATGACTCATAGTTCAATTTCCTCAACTTCATGACCTATAATTTAATTTTTACAGTTCTACTATGTTAAATGAATTTGTGTGTTCAATATGTTACTGAATTCACTAATTATTTGAGTTACTAAAGTTGAAATTTAATACTTATATATATATTTTTAAAATATTTATACGAGTATTAAATTAAAACTATTGAGTTTGGCCAAATCTATTGAAAATACTAATTAGCTACGTTCTTCTTTACTTTTTGTAGCGATACTACTTGTTTGAAAACTCACTAGCGTAAAGATCATTACTCATTAATAACATCTTTATGACTTTCATTCTTTCTTTACTTGCCAGGCGTTTGGTTATAGATTTTATTTTATTTTAAAAAAAATTAAAATTTATAAAGCTGGAGTAAAAAGATAGATCGTTGTGTTTGGTTATAATTTTTGTTTGCAAAATGATAAACGAGATTAATTTATTTAAAATTTATAAAGATGAAATTGGAAACACATTTAAAGTACTTTTTTCAAATCTTATGACCTAACACTTATTTTGAAATAAAATGAAAAAATATTTTTTTTAAAAAGTGAATAATTTTCTAAAAAACTCCATAATTGTCTAATTATTTTCCCACTTATTACTTCTACTATACACTTGTGTGGTCGTGCCACGTTAATATACAAAACTATTGTCTTCATAACCTACGACATCAAAATCACATACGTGCATACACAATACTAGTAGTCTAGTACTAGCTTGGTTATGTACCAAAAAGTCTAACATTTTCTTGGTATTTAATTTGGTCAAAAAATGTGAATAATATTAATATTAAGAATATGAGACACAACCAACCAACTAGAACTATATTATATACATACATACAACTCTTTCTTTGTATAAATTCAACTCTATAGTAGACGAATGTTTGACATAATACCAACCATGAGATTCTAGTGTTTTCCAAGTGCCTCTTTAATTATATATCAAAGAAGAAGGAAGAGGGGCCAGGTCAAAGATAAGATACTCTTCTCAAGTACATTAATTAGTTCAAATTCAAAAATATGTGATATCACGTGCACTCTGTCTCTTTAGGTAATAGTAGAAATGTGTACCATCAACGGAATAGTGCAATGGATAAGACTGTTCCTCATTTAATCAGATGTTTCAGGTTCGAGCTTTGAATATGAATTTTTTTTTGATAGGAAGCGTTTTCCCCCTGAATGGAACCATATACAATACAAATTTAAAATAGTCGGACTCTAATATACGTGTATCAAATACCGAATGAAAAACTAATGTGTAGTGTGTGTGACCATATAACAACTTATATTTCATGTGACAAAAACAACGTAAAAAGGATGTATAGTCAATTATCAGTTGCCGGCCACTTGTGATCATTGCCGCCCGAGAGGCAAACCAGTTCAATGTCTTTTCAATCAACACTTACAAATTTATAGTAAGATAATATTCTTCAATTCAATTATTCAGAGTATTGGGTCAAATTTCGGGGTGTGTATTAGTTGGTTCAGTTTTATTTTATAGATTATCGAATTTTGATTTTTAAATATGCTAAATTAATAACTAGTTTAATAAGATATTTTTATCGGTTTTCGATTATTTCGATTTAATCAATAAGAAAATGCTCATAAAATACTCCCTCCATCCATTTTTAATTGTCATGTTGCGTTTCGGAAGTCAATTTGACTAATTTTCAAAGTTAAATTAGATTACGTTATTAAATCGATATTTTAAACAAAAAAATAAATATTCAAAATCTATACGAAAAGCACTATAAATTATATTTTTTTGCAAATCAATATGATGAAAAAAATACATTATAAAATGTTATTCAAAGTTCTTATCGTTTGACTCTAAGAAAAGAAATCATGACAATTAAAAGTGGATAGAGAGAGTAATTGTATGACTTCTCCAACAATTTGGTGCGACAAGACAATAATGTAATTTACAGAATGCACATAAAATAGAAACAATAGTAGTTAACATGAAAACAACTATACAAGTGCAACACAATAAAAGAATTGGACAATAATGTGAATTGAAGGCTAAAGGGTAAATGTAGTAACAAATAAGGTATTAATATTAACATTTAATATTTATGTAGGGGTAAAATAGTAAATTACTACTGTCTTAATGTGTTATCAATTTACCCAATAACATAATATTAAAAAATCAATATCGTACCAATAATTCGATATTTTTTTTAATAAAAAACTCAATATTTTTTCGGTTTGATTTATCGATCGATTCGATTTTTGCACGAGCAAACCTCTCTATAATAATCATATGATATTTATAAAATTTCATTACAATAATCTAATTCTCTTTGAAAATAATTTTTATATTATGTTATATTATATATTTTCTATAACAATATCTCATTATAATTGAAAAAAAAATTAAAAAATTTCGAGACAAACATTTTTATAAATAGATTTGACTATAAATTTCCATCATCCTTTGCCAAGGACAAAGTTCACATTTTCTTAACCCAAGTTGACTTGGTCCCTTGATTTTATTTTTTTAACTATTGGGTTTCTTTTTAATTTGTATCGTGATTCTATGAATTTAATGTATATTGAAAAGTACGCTTATATTAAAGATAAAACGCTCTCTAGCAAAGATGATAGTCAGGCTTGAATAAAAAATCTCTGATCTTTGTTTGAATACATTATATGTTAGTATACTTTCTTAGTTCTAATTTATATAACATATTTTTTTTTTATAA